TTTTATAATTAAAATATATATTATAATTTCAGACAGAAGCTAGTAATGCAGAAAGTAGCCATTTCCGACCCCATCAACCATATATTTTCTTGATCAGCATCGAAAAACGAATCGTTTAAGCCATGTTCGGAGAAAAATAAATTTTTTAAATTTTTTTCCAAAATTTAATAAAAATTAAAATGATAAAAAATTGGTGAAAATTAAAATTTTTGTAAATTTTTAATAAAGTATACAGACTTATTAATTTTGTAAAAACTAACTCAGAACAGTTTTCCGAATTAAAATTAGTGCCTTTTTGGCCGAGTTATGATATATTTATGATCTAGCCATGTCCTTCTGTTTGTCCGTCTCTTTGTCCGTCTGTTTGTCCGTCTGTTTGTCCTTCTGTTTGTCCGTCTGTTTCTCCGTGTGCCCGTCCGTCTGTTTTTCACCCGTTTGTCAGTTTCTACGCAAACTAATCCTCAGTTTTAAAACTATCCAAATTAAAAAGTAGTAATTTTGAACCCCTAATTATAGTTTACGATTCAAAACTATTCAAAATTAGCTAAATATATAATTATAACTTCAATAACTATTTAGTATATTTCCATACTACTTCCCTGTTACCTTCAAAACCCTTTATTTCCGCCACCTTGAGAATTCAAACAGTTCACCTGGAACCCACACACACACACACCCTCGCTCTCTCACCTGTTTTTGTTTTTTTTTTTTTGTAACCCCCTCCTTTCTCCATTTATTTGCATACTTTATTCCATTTCGCTTCACCTTTGTCTGTCTGTACGCCAATTAAACTTCAATTGCCTGGCGCAGGTGCACACAGGTGGGGCTGGAGGTGGATAGGGTGAGATATAGGTAGAAGGGGAGGCTTCGGGAGCAGCTTTTTTAATTAAACTTGTCTGCAGAGTGCAGCGGGCAGCCTGCAATTCACCCCCCTACCCCATAACCCGACTCCCTCTTCCGCAAATTGATGACTTTAATCAGGCATCAGCCACTGTAATGACACTTTATGCGTGGCCCAAGGATTCAGGGACGTAGAGCAGGAACATGGACAGAGTCTGGATCAGGGGATACAAATACTTATCGCTATAAATTAATCGAAGTTGGCTCACGGTTTGGGGGCATCAATAAGCGGCAATGCGGGAAAAACTTTGAAAAATGCCAAAAGTCAATTTTGGGGCTAACCCTGAAATCAGTCCATTTTCCAAGTCCCTCTTACCCCTTTCCACCCCTTTTATTTTCTACCCACCATTCAGTTAACCCTTTTCCGAGGGGCGTGTAGTTTTTCCTTTTTCGCCTGCCTGCTTTTCTTTATTTTTCTACCCTGGTTAAGTGTCAAAGAGGGTATATTGGCTGTGGTTATTTAGTTTCTGCCGCACAAAAGTATGCTTTTTATTTAAACATTACAATTTAAAGCATACTTTTAAGCGAAGAAATGTGTGATATAAATTCTCTTTTTTTTTTTAATTGTCTTTTAGATTATTATATTTTATTATTTAAATTTATATAACAAATTAAGTGATTTATTTATTTAATTTTTTTATTTTTTAATTATTTATTTTTATTAATTTATTTGTATTAATTTATTTTTTATTAATTTATTTTTATTAATTTATTTTTTATTAATTTATTTTTATTAATTTATTTTTATTTATAAGTAATAGGTATTTCCCAAGTCCATCAACTACAAAAAACCTGCTATTTTCGGCTCGCCTGCTTCAATTGCCATGAAATTTATGTGCCGTCGCTCAGCGTGAACTTGATGCGCATAAATCCACATGAAACGGATATTAAAAAGCATGAAACGAGCCAATGCCAATGCCAATCCCAATACCAATACCCAAACTCCAGTTAACCCTCCTCCACATCCTTATTGACTATGTATTATATAGCTGATTGACTCGGATCCCTGTTGTTGGCTTTGTTGGCTTAAATTATGAACTTATAAATTGACAGCGGGCATTGGAATGCTCCTCCTCATTTCTAAAAAGCCCTTCTCCCCCTTTGTTCAGAGGCAGGAAGTTGGCCAAGAAGGGTTAGCGTTGCTTTTGGGGGGCAGAGGGGTCTTAACTAGATTTCTGGCCAAGGGGCTTAAGGGCCGGATGGACTCAAAGTCCTTATCCCCGGCTCAGGTAATTGACATTTTGTTTGGCAAACGATAAGCGATTGTTGGTCCTATCAAATGACGACGTTGGGTGAGGGGTGTTAAGAATAGGCTAGGGTACCAAGGGGTTAAGCCAACGAACTTTAACTTTTGACCTTAAAAAAGGGGGTATGTAATGCTGTAAATGTTGAATTTTGTTAGGAGGTGAAGATATGTAAAAAAAAATATATCTATTATATAGTAAAGTATCATTTAAATCTCTATAAGAAGCAAGCTAAAAATAGCAAGATGGGTAACGGCCATACATTTTGAAATTTCTTGATAAAATTTAAATGTAATTTAAATTGTATTTGATTAAATACTTTAATTTAATTTCTATTAATATCATTTTCCAGGAAGTACCAAAAACTAGACCCAAAGTTCTTCTTTACTTCAAGAATTACCCAATAATCCTCAAAGTGCCTCCAAAATAATCCCACTAAACGTTCTCTAGAGCCGTTTTCATCTCATAGATATGCAAAGCTAATCGAATTGCCAGCTTCCAAAACTGCACTTAAACCTTGACCAACCCACCCAGGGTTCCAGTGTCACTCTGAGAAAAGGAAAGCCAGAACATGGCTCCTTCACTAATGGCCTCATAAATATGCAAGCCAGAGGAGACGACGACGACGACGAGCTTCACCTGGACAAGGCCTACGGAATTTTCCCAGGCACTCCCTTTTGGCCAATTCAATTCAATTCCGAGACACAAGTCGGGCAGGCGGCTTACTGTCAGATGTATCTGTAAGTGGCAGTTCCATCTCGAAAAGAAGATCCCCGGCCTTGGCCTGCCGCTGGCATATTTGATTTTGTAATTTGCATTTGATAAGCACAACTCTGGCAGGACTTACCACCCCCCATATCCCTCCCTTGGTTACAGTTTCAGTCAGTTTTGCAGCCTTTGTTTTGTTTTAATTCCATTGAAATGAATTTATCTATGCCAAACCAGAAGCAGCAGCAGGAACAGCAGCCAACGGCTCAGTTTGTGTGTGTTTTCCCTCAAATTCCATTATTTTCCTTTTGCGTTTTTGGTTTGTGAAAAGCCACAAAAGATTTTCCATTTAGCCAACATCAACAAAGAGTCCAATTTTGTTGCTTTTTTTTTTTTTTTTGCATATATATATATATCATTAATATTTATTTCTCAACTTTCTTTTCTAAAAAAAACTGAAGCAAAATTATTGAAAAATTTATAAATTTTATAATTCTAAAATAAAAATTATATATTGCTTAACAATATTCATAATAATTAATAATAATAACAACTAAACTTCGGACTTGCATTTTTATCACGCATTTAAATTTACAAAATTAAGATTTAAAATTAAAGATATATATAAATTTCTGGAGGGGCAAGCATCATTGAAAGCGAAAAAAAACAAATTAAGGAATTTTTGTATTTAACATTTTGGCAAAAAACGTTAACTTTGAGTTCGTTCTCTATTCTCCGGGATTGATTCACATGGATGAGGGGGTTTTTTTTGATAATGGATAATGGTTTTTTTTTGTGGTTACAATGGAACATGGAAATTCGAGGAGTTACTGGACATTCCTATAGTTTTCTTTTCGCTTTTACGGCTTTCATTTCGTATAGTTTATAATAATATTTTCGTGTATATATATAAATACGAGTTCGTACGATTAGATTTAGTTTCTTATCAACGAGTAAGTTGTACTTGGGGTAGGAGGAGTATAACAAGAGGTTAGTTAGGCTCCGGCCAGCCGAAGCTTTGAATACCCTTAGGGAGGCTTACAAAATTTAGGGGGTTATTTTAAATACTGATTTTAGGCAGTAAACAAATTGAAAATGTGATATAAATCGAGGAAATATCAAAAATAAATATTTAAAATTTAAGTTTTTAAAATTTAAAGTATCGAAAAATATCAATGTTATCGATAAAATATCTAAAACAATTTAATTTACAATTTATTTGAATTTTTTAAGCATTATATTTAAAATATTTAAAAAATTTAATTTTTAAAAACTTCTCTCTCTCTCTCTTTTCCTTTCTCTCGCTATCTCTTTTTCTTTGATGCAGTTCGATATAAAAAAAAGAAAAATCGATATTTTACGATACATCTGGTAAAGTTATATCTGAAATATCTGATAAACGGACACAAAAACTAACATAACTTTAGCTCTGTAAGGGTATTCAGAATTATATATATGTATATATAGATTGGCAAACACATTTTACAACTGACATTCTTTAAACCTGCCAATTGAATAATATTTTTTGTGCTGTGCATGTGCCTTCTTGACTTTTGTTTTTGTTTCAAAATACAGTTGAACTTTGCTCGTTTAATATTTTATTTTTTTTAACTAAGGCTTACAAATTAGCAAGTTTGTTCGCTTTTCTTTAGCGCGAGAGGAAAAATGTTTCGCTAGGGTGCACTACCTTCTTTAGTTTTGTAAAAAAAAAAAAAAGTTCGCTTTAAGTTTAAGATATATAAAAAGTTCTTTTGTTTATTTATAAACCATCCAAATATTTAGCTGCATTATTTTTTTGTTTTAGAAGTTCAGCTGTATTCGGATAAACGTTTTGCTTAAGCCTTTGAAAGGAGTGATTAGCTTTGAGGTGCTTTTTTAAGGGTTAATACTTGTGTACACATACAGGGGGTATTATTTATATACATATAAATATATATCGATTAGGGATGTATATCGATAGACAAAGGTCTAAATTATCATCTTGCTTAAAATTATATTAAAATTTTTGTTGATTGAACAATTTTAAACATTTAAAAATAGCCTGAAAATATCGAAATTATCGATAAATTTAAAAAAATATATATTATTTCATTTATTTGTTTACATTTTTTTTGAATATATTGAGTCAAAATATCAAACAGAAAATTAAATTATAGAACATATATCGAAAATATTGATATAAAAATCAAATATCGATATTTTTTGTCATCCCTAAAATCGATATATATGTAAAAATAGCAAGTATACATTTTGCGTTTGGATTGAAGCTACTTTCTGAGCTAAACTGAGCTGAGATGACCTGTTTTGTGTGAAAGTTCGATGATGCGTGTAAATGGAGGGTTTTTTTGTTCGTTTCGTTTCGATCGTTCGGCGCTGCCAACCGCTACTGCCGCACTACGTGCTACGTCCGATTTGCAACCAGGCGAGCAACAACTGCAATGCCGGCTGGAGCAGCACCAGTTTTCAGATATCTGTATTGATATTGATCCGCGTCAGAAACTCGCCGTGCGAATCGGCCACAGCGCGTATGATCTCCAGCAACAGTTCGCGCGACAAACCCGCTATCTTTGGCAGCCTGGCCACCTTGGCAAAATCTTTAACGATCAGCTTGAGGGCGTACTCTTTGATGTCATAGATCTTGGTAATATCCGATGCCTCCAGCGTTTGCAATACATTCTCGTACGTAATATTGTGCTCCAGTGAGTATTTGCAAAATGCATGCAGCCGGTTGTTGGCCAAACCATAAAAGCAAGGCGCCTGGAATAGATACAGTGCATCCTGCGGTGGCATCTTTGTTTCGCCATAGTAAATGTAGCGAAGCAGCGAATGGAATGCCTCCAGTGAGGGGGAAATTTCGCCAATTTGAATCTGTTAAAAACAAAAATATTATAAATAACAAGAAAAATATATAGTTGGGAGGATCGAGAACCCACATTGACGGTATTATCCGGCGGCATGAACGAACGGAACATGCCCTGGAAGTAGGTACAACGTGATGATAACACAGACTTGTGGGCCGGTATCACATGATCCTCCAGTATGAGGCTTATATCGCAGAAATCATTGCCAGTTGACTCCAAAAAGAGGCACAGATCGATCTCCAAAGTGGTTCCTGTGCAAAAAAAAGAAGAATAAATTAATTAATAAAAATAAAAATTAATTAAATAATTAAAAAATTAACAAATAAGTTAATAAATAAAAAAGGAATAAATAAATAAATATAAAATTAATTAATTAAATTAGTTAATTCATTAAATTAAATTAAATTTATTAGTTAAATATATAATTAATTAATCAAATTATTAAATATAAATGAATTAATTAATAAATAAATAATAAATTAAATAATTAATATAACAATAAAATAATTAATATATAAATTAATTTATTAATGAATAATAATTAATTTATAAATTAATTAATAAATAAATTAGTAAATAAATATATAAATAATATTTTATAATAAATAAAAAATATTTATAATAAATAAATAGATATTTTATTTTATTATAATTATTTATTTATTATTTTATATTAAATATATATATATTTTATAATTATTAAATACATATTTAGTGATCAAGCTCACCTATGTTGGACTCAAAACTGGTATCCATTACCAGCTTGCTGGGATGCAAACGTTTCCTTATGATCTCCACCAACAGAGGCTTGTCCAAATCGCTAAACTCACTGGACATAACCACCTCAGTGAAGTTCTCCTCCTTGATGATGAACTGCATGCAATGATCCTTGATGATCTTAATGCTGGTGATGGAAAAGGGAGTTTATAAGGGAGAAGTGAAAGTGGAATCAATATATAAACCGAAAATTTATCGATAATTTCGATATTTAAGCGATAAATATCGATACTCAAACGTTGTTTAAAATATTGTTAAATATTTAAGAATTTGTCAGAAGTTTACGATATTTTCGATACAACAATCAAAGCGCTATACATTCCCCCTTGTTATGTTAAGAAGACATCCCTCCGGACTCACTTGCTCTTATCCGCATTGTAGAGCGCCTCCAGGACATTGAGCTTGTTAATCTTGTAGTCCAAATACTGAATACAGCCATGGGCCAGCCGCGGCATTGTGAACAGTCCCGCCAGCTGGTAGATGTCCGTGATGAGTATAATGATGTTCTTGCTGTACGAATCCTTCAGATCAATCCGATCCGTGTAGATGTAGTTCAGGATGATGTCAAAGGCCTCCGGTGAGGCATGGGCCAGGCGTACCTCCAGCATTGGGCCGCGGTCCCCGCCCGCTCCCGTATTCAAAGCCTGGGCATCCACCTGTCCCACACCATAAACTTTCTCCATTTGCTGTTGACGCGCCTCCCGGGCGGCCAAGATCTTGTTCCTCAAATACTTGGACCTGGCGGCCACAAAGGCAATATGGGCCAGGATACGTATCTCCTCGGCGCCCACAATAAACTGAATGTCACAGAACTGTTTCTCCTGGAAGAACTTGCCAAAATCGTCGCGCAACGTGCACTTTGGATACGAGGAGAACTGAAAGCGATAGGTGTCACCACGTCGCACGCTATTGTCCACCGTTCCACCGAATATATACATGGCATCTCCTATAACAGCCGAGGCATGGAACACCCTTCCCGAGGGCACATCCGAATTCTGCTCGGGCTGAATAACCGACCACACCTGCGAATCCAAATCATAGCAATGCAGATCATTTGGCAGCGTCGAATCCGCTGATCCCCCAAAGACATACAAGAACCTATCATGATGGACCATCGTATGGCCATATCTACGCGATGGCGGTGCCGAGGTGGCGCCCCTCAGAACCGGTTCATTCGAAATGCGACGCCAGGTGCGGGTTTTAAAGTGAAATTCAAACAAAGAATTGGTTATCTGCAGGCCGCTCTGTCCCGAGAACACATACATGGCATCCCGGGCCACGGCCACGGGGAAATTGCAGCAAGTGGGCGGACGATCACCCTGCTGATCCACCTCCTCCCACTGATGATTCTCGCCGGTGAGATTCAAAGTCCACATATCATTCAACCTAGCATTGCCATCGTAGCCCGCATAGATCCACATCTTGTTGTCATAGACAGCTGCCCCATGAGCGGATCTGGGCACCGGCTGGCGTCCCGAGAACTTCCATTCCACCCACATGGCACTCTGGAACTTGTACTCGAACAGATCGTTCTTGTTGGTCAAATTCGAGTTGGAGTGTATGTCCCCTGTGTAGCCGCCAAAAATGAACATGGAGCTGCCGGCCACCACGGCCGAATGATGGTATCGCGGAGCTGGTGGTGTACCCGTTGCACAGGCCCTGCCCCAGGATTTGTCCTTGACGCCAAAGCGTATGAGGTCGTTAAGCATATTCTTGCCATTGTCACCGCCAAAAACAAACATGGCATCCTTGTAGGCCACCACCGTGTGTTTGCTTCGTCTGCAAAAGAGGATTAAATACAGATTTATCCTTGAGTAAAGCTTCTTAACCAGTTGGATATCCTTTAGACTTACTTTGCTCCCACAAACTCGGCGCATTCCAGCATCCGCGTCCACTGGTGTGTGGCCGTGTAGGAGGAAAAGTCCACATTGAGGGCATTGCAGCTATAGCTGCCTGGTGAGGCAGCCTTGCCACTGCCACTACCACTGCTGGCATTGCTGGCTGCATCATAGGCCATGCCACAGGAACCCGAGGCAGAGCCAGAGGCTGCTGATTGGGAGCCGCCAGTACAATGGCTGCCCGGTGCATGCGAGGAGCCACCACCAGAGAAGTTGCTAGCTCCACCACCACGGGTACTCCTCATAGAACTGGATGTGGACATTCGTAGATTCGAGCGTATATGCTGGGCGTCCAAACAGCCGGCAGTGGAGGCACTTTTCCTGGCCTTGTTGCGTTTACTGGACTTGCTGGAGCTGCGCGAGAAGAAGCCCTCGTGATGGGGACTGGCCTGGGGACTGGGATTGGGATTCTGTTGCTGGGCGGCCGCTACGCAGGCGGGGCAATAGAGGACGCCGGCGGGTGTGCTGCCGCCACTGGCACTGCCGCTGCCTCGATCACGATCTCGATCGCGATCCCTGTCGCCACCTCCTCCGCCGCCCACAATACCGCCGCTGACGAAACCGCAGACTGCACTCAGGCCGCTTGAAATGGAGCTGGATCCCAGGCCGCAACTGGCACGCCCACTACCGCTGGCGCTTCTGCTTCCACTGGCGCTGCCAGGTCCACTGCCACTTCCACTGGCTCCAGCTCCTCCACCTCCTCCTCCACCGCCTGCGCCTCCACCACCGCCTGCTCCCGGTCCACCGCCGCCGCCGCCGCCACTTCCTCCTCTTTCCGTGGATGCCACGCCGCCGCTGATCGACTTTAGCATTAATGCATCACACGTCGTCGGGAGGCTGCGTTGACATTAGCATAAATGCATTCCTTAGCTTTGCTTGTTTTTCTTTTTTATTTTCTTTTGTAAATTCAATTTTCACACACACAAACACACACACAAGCGCGAGTTTTGTTAAAGGAATACAGTTTAGAGTGACCAAAGCTTGATTAATAAGATATACCGATAAAAAAAACAGTGGCTCATACTGAAAATTGTCCCAGTTATCGGAACTAGTTCATTCTTAATATTTTAAATGTTTATTTATTTTTAAAATGTAAAAGTAGAATATGCATCAATTTTAATTTTAAATTATTTATAATTTTTAATTTATTAAATTTTAAATTAATTAACTTATTTTACATATTTAAATGTTGTTGAATTTATTAAAACGAACTAGTTCCCCTGGTCTTACAATCGCTGGTGAGTGCCATCTCTAGTTTGTGCAAGTGCCACCTCTAAGACAGAGCCGACAAGAAAAAACAAAACAAAAAGCGGCGTCTGCCACAAAATAAGCAAATTTAAGCAACTAATTTAGTTAATTAAACTTAGTTAAAGTAAAAGAGAAGATCAACAAGATGGCCAGCAGTTCAAGGACCACAATTCTGCCGCAATCCAAGGAAGCTCTTCTTAAATCCTACAATGCCCGCCTGAAAGACGATGTGCGCAGCATGTTAGAGAACTTTGAGGGTAAAATATACAAAATACAACCTGCAAACATAATTATTTAGTAAATTTAATTAATTTACAGAAATCCTTAAGCTGGCCCGTCGCGAAAGTCACAGTCAAATCTCAAAGACAACGCAATGCGAACAGGATGCCCTGGAAATGCAAGTGCGAGCGGCCAACATGGGTTAGTTTTGCTTATTAAAGAAATAACTATATATATTATAATATATATATATGTATATATACATTTCAGTTCGCGCTGGCGAATCCCTGATGAAGCTAGTGGCCGATCTCAAGCAGTATCTAATCCTCAACGATTTCCACTCTGTCAACGAGGCCATCACAAATAATTCACAACTATTTCGGGCCACACAAATCGAATGCGACAAGAAGCTTATGAAATTAAGGGACGAAATGGCCATGGATCTGTACGATCTGGAGGAGGAGTACTACACTAGCATATTCAAATAACCTAAATGAATATAAATCAAAGAGGAAAACGTTTACTTTATGGCTGATTTATTGATGGATTCCCTTTTTTAAAGTTGCTAAAAACCTCATTTTAATGGTTATTTGAGGTATTTCTGAACCAAAATTTATCTTTATTGGTAATTCTTAAGTTTTTAACTCCTTTTTATAGCTGGTTTATAGGTTTATATACCTCATTTTAAGGGTAAATTGAGTTATATTTTATATATTTTCTACAGAAATCATCAAGTTCTTAAAATTTCCTTTTGTTTTGTATCATTTTCAAGGTAAAACCCATATCAGGAAATCACTAATTTCAGGAATGATTAAGGTTTCCTACTTAATCTAGGCTATTAAAATTAAGTTTAAAGGGAAAACCCACTTGGCCAAAAAACCAAAGTATAATAAAAAAAAAAACAGGTACGTCTTGAAAATTCTGGTAATATCGATAAGACAAAATCTGTCTGCAAACAAAAAACCAAAGCCTTATCAGTGAGATTTGTTTTTTTTTTTGTTAAAAATATGGGGAGCTATATAAATATATTTTTATTTTTAAGGGTCATAAAAACAGTTAAAGGTTACCAAGGAAATTAATAATATTAAAGATATCTATGAGGTGACACCTGTTCCCTTAGCTAACGTTAACTATCTTGCAGCTCTTGATAAGGATTATTATTTATTGAAAGAAAATCCAAAATACTTGAACAATCTTATCCGCTCCTCGGGCATGCTAATTTATTGTTGATTTAATCCCAAACGATCCATGACCGCTTCGAGTGCTCTCCGAACCCCTTCTTCTCGCCATTCGCCTCATGGGGGGTCCAATCCCAAATCCTCCAACTGATTTGCTAATCTTCCTTATCGAAACAGGAGATAACACCCAGCGAACGATTCGATTTGATTCGATTGCAGCTGCACCTGAGGTATAGATGGCCTTCGCCAGGTGACTAGTTTGTTTCCCAGTGAAATTTCGTTGAATGATTCGATTGAATGGAACTAAATTTGGACTTATTTAGAGATTAAATCAGCGAAAGCCACTTGAAGTTGAGCAAAAACAATTGAAATTCTTATATAAAAATCATGATTTGGCAAATATTTGTATAGAGCAGAGGGGTTTTCGGTCCTGAGCTGAGAGGAAATTGAAGAAAAACTCTCTAATTAATTATAATATAATTGTTATATATAATTGTTATATTTTTTAAACTTCTTATCCTGCCTTGAGAGGAAATTGAATTAGTTACTCTTTCTCTCTCTTTGTTAAATTTATGGAATAATTAAAATTAATTAATTCATAAATTAAAAATTAATTAATTTTAATTGAATTTAAAAACCCTCTAGCTTTGTGAAAATTAATAAATAATTCATAATTTTGTATTTATTTTAATATTACATTTTTACACTTAATCCCCATTTAAAAACTTAAGTTTAATAACAAAAAAAAAATTATAAAAAAATTAAATTAAATTTCCTAGAAGATAAAGTCCCTCTCCTCCTGCTCGTCCAGCAGCGTCAGACTCCTCTCGAATTGCTTAATATTCCGATACCAATTGGGATCCTTGGCGGCTATATCCTCGGGCCTGCCGCCCTTGTGGCGATACAGGAACTCGGCATGCCCCTGACCCGCCACTCCATTCACCGTACAGGCCACAAACTGATTGAAGACCTTCGAGTCCCAGTCACCGCCCACATACCGCACGGCGGACGCCTCCTCCTGGATCTGCACCAGGTACTCCTTTTCCTCGGTGCGAACTATAAAGTTCTGATGCTGCGGCGGTGTACCCTTTTCCCCATACGAATACAGCTCGAAATTGCTCCAGGTCAGCGGTTGATACTGACCCGTGGGTGTGCAGACATAGCCCACCTTCAGGGAGGATAGGAAAAAGGATGGCTGGCTGAGATTACCCACCACCATGCTGCTGCCATCGTCCAGGAACAAGGCAAAATACACATAACGATTGATGGAGCTGAGACAACGTTCGGTGCCAAAGCCATGATCCCGGAAGCCCAGCATTTTCAGGGGAAATTCCTTTTCCCCAAGGATCAGCTTCCCGGAGAGTTCGCCATTCTGTTCGTAGTGGGTTCGTCGGTCCATGATGTGATTAACGCTTCGAATCACACTGTAGAATCTCTCATTCCAGGCCTCCCTGGCTATAGAATCGGCTATCAAAGAGGAGCTCAAGTCCCGGCTATAATCAAAGTGTTCCGTGGAGGAGCTCTTGAAGCGTAGATCCAGGTTAACAGGTATATCCTTTTCCTCTTCGCCTTGACTCTTCAAAACACCCTTGTATTGGATCCTCCACACCTTCATGGACTCCTCTTGATACACATGGAAACCTCCGCCCTGAAACTCGCTGCTCTCCTGGCCATCTTCCGTAGTGAAATGTATCATGTCTGGCAGATTGGGTGAGCTAAGTAATCCTTGTTCTGGCAGCCAAAGGTAGAGAGCTGCTTTGAGAACACCTCTCCTCCTGCGCTCCAAGGTAACCATCAGTTTCTGACCCTCCTTATTGGCGGCCATAAAGCTTACAACATCATAGCTTTTGGGATCAGTGCTCAGCTCCTGGGGTCGATCGATTTTGGCCAAGTGCTCTGGGGAACCCAAAACCTCTTCGTTTCTTCTATAAATACGATATCTCAGGCGTCGTAGGACCAGTAAAGCCAACCAGAATTTGACTCTATAGAAGATACCCTTCAAGGGGTATTTGTTGAAAATCAGGGGAGGCTTTAGGCCCAAAAGTTTGAGAACCACACTAATCAGGGTCCAAAGAATGCCAAAGATCAGGCCGAGGGCTAAAAGGAAAACCATTTTTAAAGATCACTGATCACTGATCACTTTTCTATATATCCTCTAAATGTATGTAGGGTTTACGAAAGCTTGATTCCCTTTGAAAAAAACTTTAAATGTTGTTGACCGCTTGGCCTATTTTACGTGACTGAGGGCCTACTCCAGATTGTGCTAGGAAAATGCTTCTTGGACTGCCGTCGTCGTCGTTGTCGTTGCTTATCGAAACCCCTCCATCCGATAAGCTACCGATAAACCCCCACACACACCCTCTCTTCCGGCTTATCGGGACAACCAGGTGGTTGTGAGGCTTTACGACAATCACTATATGACTACCTCGTAAATCTGAATCTGTCTGGCGGTCGCATTTTCTGATTGATCCATTAGCAAGGTGCGCAATCCATTAGGAACTTTCGATAACAATCTGTAGATAGTCGGGGTTGGTTTGGGGTTATCTCCTGGTTCAAAGTCTGGCTGGCTACTTGGGTACCAAAGTCTCATTAAGATCTAAAAATCTAGAATATATAATAATGGGTAATGGTATTGTTGTGACTTTCCCTGTGAACTTATCTGCAAAGCATTGTAATTCCAGGATTTATAGGCAATAATAGTTGAGAGATAGTGAACCTAGGAGATAGTGATTCATGATTTTAAAGGTTATTTGTAAATAGTTTTGAATATTTTAGGTGATACTTGTTAATCTATTGGTAAATAAAACTGATTTTTAAATGTTTATATATTTTTCTTTTTGATTTAATTTCCACTTTCCAATACTAAAACTTGCCAGAAAAAGGACCTTTTTCTTTAGCCCCTTAACCAACACTGGATACGAAAGCCTTTAAAAACTGCGCCTGCGTCAAAAAACAACAAACGCTTAATCAATAAAAACATAAAATTTAGTGCGCAAGGAGCATCGGCAGCAGGAACAGGAACAAAAACAATATTCTCCGCAGAGGACAACAACATTTCGCATAGTTGTCCTGTTTGTAGAGGCCGCGCAGAGGAGGAGCTTAACCCGTTAATTTAGTATTGTAAATTGTAGAAGAAAATTAAGCAATTATCCCGCAGAAAAGCAAAAGGTGAGCGTATATTGAGTATTTACCGTTACCTGTGCGCGACAACAAAACGCACAGGGAAAGTGGAAGGAGAAGGAGTAAGAGAGAAAGCGAGAGAGTGAGAGAGTGAGACAAAGAGAGAGAGTGAGAAGCAGGAGCAAAATAAGTGAACCAAACTGCATTTCCAGGAACAACAACAGCAAAAAATAACGGGACAACAGGACGCAGCGAAGAGGAATAAGTGAAAGGAAGATAAAAAAAAAAAAAAACAACAATAAACCAGACAAAAAAAAATATAATCGAAAAAAATATAGCTTAAAAAGGATACTTTGGATTTTTAATTTAATTCGAAAGCTTAGAAAACCATCCATGTGATAAACACTAAAAAAGAAAACCAAGAAAGGAACTAGACTAAAGAAACAAAGAAAAGAAGGAGCTGCAATAAAGAAAAGGTGAACCCAAAAAGAGAATCAGGAATCTACAGATAAAAGCTGCAAAAGAAACAACAAGAGAGAGCTTGAGAAGCTTCAGTGATCCTTCACTCAGTTTCTTAAGAGAGTCAAAAATCTTCTCTTAAGAGGAAGACTCTCTTTTTTGCACTCTTGATTAACCCTTCACCCGGTGACCATCACCATGTATAAAACCATAAGACACGGCGAAAACAGCCTGCAGTACACAATTCTGCCCCAAAACGATGATTTTCGCATCGAGGGCAAGCTGTCGGGTAATGGACGCTCCGCTGGTGGAGCCTCATCCTCTGGCTCGGCCTCTTCTTCGTCCGGCGCCAAGGTCAAGGGTCAGCGACGTCGCCGATCCTTTTTCGCCTATCTAGGACTCATCTTCGTGTGCACCGTGATCATCGGAGCCGTGCTAATACCCTTCTTGGTCTCCGCCGAATGTCTGCCAAATCCCACGGAATGGTTTTTGAAAACTAAAGCGGCCCTGATCCACAGCCCACAGAGAGGTGGCGGTGGCGGAATCGTATCAGCCGGTGGAGACATGACAGGAAATCCCACATTACCCACAGGATCACCCTTGCTGCAACAGAATGTGGGTCGAAATGTCCAGATTGTCAATCGGAATGGCGTAGAGCAGTTCGTTATACGTTTAAATAAAACTACTCTGAGTAACCTGGCATCGACCACCACCACGAGCAGCAGCACCACCACAACTACGAGCACGACAACCACACCAGCTCCCACTACAACCACAAGCAGCAGCACCAGCACCACCACTACCACCACCACCAGGGAGCCAGTGACCACTCCACGTTACTCGCCACCGGCCACCACCATCACCACGCGCATTATCCAGGTTCCCTTGCTGAAATCCGCCGCCAAGAAACCCATTATGCCACCGGTTTTGGCCAAGGCCCAGGGAGCTCAATACCAACCCGGTGTTGGACAACAGGATGCCAAGATGCAGACACAATCAAATCAGGCAGAGGAGCAGGCAGCAGCAGTCCAGAATAATCGCAGCAACAGTGCCTGGCTCAAGACGAACTGGGCCTACATTGATCCTTCGACCTACTTTCAATGGACCGTAAGTGATCTCCAGGGGGGTTACCCGGCACTTAGAGATACAAGGGGTTAGCTGGGACTAAGTAGCTTTTTAGTATTTGGTATCTTTTGATTAAGAATGATGTGAGGTCCTTGTCCGATGATATGATACCAGGGATCTTGAGAACCTTTAAATCAATTTAGAAGAGACTTGGGATGCAGTTCTTCAAGATGAATCTCCTAAGAACCCTAGGATAAAAGGTGAAGAATAGTTACTAGTTATCCAGGAACCCTAAGACTAATCCCAACCGAATCCTTTTCACCTTCCCCCTTTGAGTGGCGTGGGTATCCTATTTGGGTCGATTTTTCTTTATTAATAAACCACTAAAAAATCCACTTTTATTTTTCGCAGGGCTACAAGGCCGAGGATAGCGTGCTGCTGCCCGCTCTTCTGGGCTTCGCCCTCATCGGCGTGATTCTGATCATAACGGTATGCCTGGTGGCACGCAACAAGCGCACCATCGTCTCCTCCGTCCGCAAGCGGAACCGTAACGTGAGTACAAAATGCAATTAATTTTCTGGCAAAAAAAAAAAAAAGAAAGAAATCATAAAAAAAATGTATAACCCACTCGCCCGGAAGGAGGGTGGGCGCAACGACCTTGGGCCACTTGCAGGGTCTCCCTCCCCCCACGGGTTGCGGTTTACATCCATTAAACCAGTCAATTTACATAGCTAATTGTGTTAAATTTAGCTGGCATTTAATTGCTGGCCGTAAATTGATTATAATATTTAAATTTGAAACGCTCGGGCTTTCAACTCACTCGAATATTAACCATTCTGTTTGAAGATGTTTGTTTTTCTTTAAAGAACTCCTGTGAAGTGTGTGTTCTGTAAAAAATTAATTAATATTTAATATTTACGTAAATTGTGACTTTAAACCTATTAATTTCAAAGTGCGCGCCACACTATTTTCAAAAGTGAACTAGTTCCCTGCAATTTGAAGCTGCGCGCTCATCTGTCACTTGCTGCGGAGCCCTGGTCTTGTCAAGTGCCCCAGGGCTGCCTCACTCATCTGGTGAAAGTGTGCCAGAAAATCGATAAAAACTTGACTTAAAAAGTCTACAGCTACGCGAGTTGTTTATGAAAAAGTGTTTAGCGAATGTATTAGAAATGAAAAGAGGTAAACAACAACTGATTCCCATCAAAAGCGAACGCGCAGCAGCCCTGGTCCGTCGTGTTGCTACTTGTCACACACGTCACAGAAACGGCCGAAGAGAGCCGAAGGCAGCCGAGAGCGAGGGAGAGAGCAGGCTTTCGCCGGCTATGTGGCAATTTCTTTGGCGTTTGCTGCTGCCAGGGCTGCACAGCAGCGGGAACAAACGGAACTAGCTGAGAGCTGGGAAAATTCGGAAAACTGCGACCAGTGCTGGATTGGTGCGGGGAAAGCGTCAAGTCAAGTGAACATATGGAGACAGTGGCAAAATATTTAGCTGTGCGCCAGCCCTGGTCCCAGTGAAACCCAAACACACACAAACACACACACAGATACCCGCGCGAGGCGACTCGTCTCACAGGTGAGCAGCGCAGCAGCAGCAGCAACAGCAACGGCAGCAGAGCAGCGTCGAATAGCGCCCAGAGCAGATTCAGATTCGGTTTCTGCCCCTGCCTGCGTCCGATTTCAGTTCCAGATCCAACACCTGCAGCGGCGGCACGACAGTTACTCTATCGCTGTGCCTGCGAGTGAGTGCGAAACGCTCCACGAGAAGGGAAAACTGCAACGTGGAAAGTACGTCAGCGAACGGAACGGAAAATCCTGTGAGTAAAAAGTGGCAACAACGAAAACGCGTGTGTGTGGCCGCAACAACACAAATTTGCCAGCGTGTCTCTTGCAGTCTCTCTGCTGTGCGTGTGTGTGTGTGTATGTGTGCCCATGGTGCGTTTGTGTGGGAGCGCGCTAGCGGATTTGCTTGCGTGTGTGTGTGTGTGTGTGCGCGCGCGCGTATATATACATGTGTGTGTGTAGTGCCAACAAGGCAAATTGTGTTTTTGTTATTGGAATGTAGCATCTCTTTAATACAGTAGTTATCCCTTAAGTGGGCTTTAATCCCTGCATTCCTGCAGGCCAGATAAGGCTCGCCCACCAAGATAACCGTGCCTCCATCACTCGTGGCATTTAATTTTTTGCATGTGACCAAAATGTACATACAATAAGCCACAAAACGGTACATTTCCAGTTGGAGGTTTCACTTGTATTGTTTTTATTTGTTTAGTGCTAAGGATGAGCCACAAGTTAGGGCTTAAAGTCGTGTAAGTCGTGGCAGCTTTAACTAAAGATTACTGTGTTTAGATTTGTGATTCGTGGAGGCTTTTTGATATCAAGAATGTCGTGGCTTTTAAGTCACATTTTGTAGGGGATTTACCTTAACTATTAATTTTTTAATCTTAAAAATAATTTAAGATTTAATATTTTAATTTGGAGATGTTTGAAAGTTATATAGGAATGGAAAAAATTAAAACAAAATAGATAAGAAATTTATTCACAAATTTTGAATATTTAATGAATCCAAGACTTTGGGCTACGTAGGCAGTTTTAGCTATAGTGATATACTATATATTTTATAAATTCTATTATATTACTATCTATCACTTGTAGGAACTTGTAATAGCATTAGGATAGGACTGCTATCAGCAGTCAAGACCAAGATAAGCATATTGTAGGGTTAGTTGTTCAAAATAAGGGATTAAATATATAGAAAAAGAAAGTGATAATAGATTTTATTGAACTTATAGAAAGTTGAATTATCAGGATATTTAAAATTAAAATATTTTATAAAATTTATAGGAGTTTATAAGGAATTATTAGGATATTTAAAAATTATATAGCAGTATTAGCTAGAATATTTTATAAAATTTATAGTAGTTCGAATTTTTGGTATATTTAAAAATGATCTAGTTAAAATATTTTTATTAATAAATTAAATTTTAAATTAATTAGGAATTACTAATTAAATAAAAATAAATAAATATTATTAAAAAAAATAAATAAATATTTATGTATTACTAATAAAAGTAAATAAATAATTATTAATTATTTTTTTTAATTAGTGTGAGCCCAAGTAGAATATAAAATATATAATCTAAGAGATCTTAAAATTCCTTAAAAAAAAACTTAAAAAATTCAATTAAATTTCCATAAATCCCTTTCTTAATTATTTTTTATAATTACTGTGCTGCCTATTCCAATAACAAAAACAATCAAAATACACACCACAAAAAGTAACACCATAAACCGTATAAAATCCTGAAAACTAATTATATCTCCCCCTTGCAGCACTTTTTTAAAACACCTGCTCTCCTGCTCCTGTTCCTGCCACTCTGCGATGGCCATTAAGCCCGGACTTGGTCGCAAGACCAGCAACAAAAATCCGCCTATCCTTAGCCATGAGTTCGTGATCCAGAACCATGCCGATATCATCTCCTGCGTGGCCATGGTGTTCGTTGTGGGCCTAATGAATGAATCGACGGCCGCCTTTGCCAGCGCCTTCATCTCGCTGCACCACAATGTCAGCGGGGAGGATCCCAGCCGGGAGCAGCCATATGGCAAGGCCTACACCTATATTGCCGGCATCAAGGACTATTGTGCGATATTCTTTTACACGCTCACCTGCATCATCATGCACGCCATCATCCAGGAGTTTGTGCTGGACAAAATCAGCAAAAAGCTGCATCTGTCCAAATTCAAGCTGGCCCGCTTCAACGAGTCCGGCCAGCTGGTGGCCTTCTATCTGCTGTCCTTCGTCTGGGGCGCCCATGTGGTGCTCAAGGAGGGCTATTTGGGACAGGTCGCTCAGCTGTGGGAGGGTTTCCCCGACCATCCGATGAGCTTCCTTCACAAATTCTACTTTATCGTTCAGCTGGCGTACTATCTGCACATGCTGCCGGAGCTGTACTTCCAGAAGATCAAGACCAAGGAGGAGCAACAGCCCAAGATTATCCATTCGATCAGCGGCTTCACCCTCATCGTGCTGGCCTACACACTGAGCTTCCAGCGTCTGGCCTTGGTCCTGCTGACCCTGCACTATTTCAGCGAACTGCTGTCGCATGTCTTCCAGCTGATCGGTGTCTTTGATCGCGAGGAGCGTCTGGCCAAGCTGCGTGTGGTGAATAATGGTGTGTTCTTCCTTATACGCTTTGCCACCTCGGTGATTGGTGTCCTCACGCTGCACTATGGTATCGGTGGATTCCGTTCCCTGCTGGCCCTGGGCGGTTTGATTGCTCTGCAGGGCTACCTGGTGTTTTCGTTCATTACGGAGCAGCTGAGGGCCAAGCGGGAGGCCAAGAAGGAGGCCAAACGAGAGGCCAAACTGGCACTGCAGACAAAGAAGCCATCGAAGGCGCCAAAGGATAAGGTGAAGCGCAAGAAGGAGAGCGATCTGCCCGAGGCGGATCAGTCTTCGCCCAGTCCCGTCAAGCAGAAGCTCAAGTGAGAAGAGAGCTTCTCCATCTCCTCGCAACGCAGAGCAACAAAATCTTCCGCACACTTCCAATCTACAGAGAGAAAGAGAGAGCAGCACCATGGACAAGGGAGCCTAGAATAGCTAGTTATAGACGATTGTAAAGCACGGCTCCACCTGTTTTGTTTTTTTTTTTGTAAATCTCGATTAGCTCCAAAAACTACTGCAAACATTTCTGCTGCATTTACTTCCTCAACACCCACAACCACAACAACAACACACACACACAACAAGAAACTATTTCTTAGCCTAAATGTTTTGTTTCATTTTAAGTTCATATCATTTTTTTTTTTAAATAAATTTTTTTATTTTTATACATACACAAAAATGAAAAATCAAAAAAAAAAAAAAAACTAAAGCTTATTATTGTAACGTGTGTTTTTTGTAATTGTTCTTCCTTGTAGCAAGTAAATTGTTCAATTGCTGAATAACTGAATGATTTCACAATTTCCGATCGTCCTATTTGCATGTAAAACTATTTTTTATAAAACTTAAAAACTACAAAAAAAAAAGAAAGAAAGAAAGAAAGAGTGAAGATGAACAAGAACAAGAAGAAAAGATTGTAACGAAGCAACAAAACATTGCTAAATATATAAAAGAAAATATATATATTTTGTATAAGAAAACTGAAATGATTGAAAAATGTTTTATTTTTAGGGTTACTATAATTCTTAACTGGTATGTAAAAAAAACAGGGTGTTCCTGATAGAATTAATTTTTTGCACTATAAATCCCAACTGATTTTAGCTAGAATTTATGGATTTATCGCCTACGTTGCACTATAATTCCCAACTGGAATTTTGGAATATTAAAAATGTAAATCTAAAAAAATGTTACAAAACTATAACCTTAGGTTTTTGTTTTCTATTTTTAAAATATTTAAATAATTTTATATAAATATATTTCTTACAGGATATCGAGGAGCAGGGCGCCGAGGATAATGCCACCTTGCTGACCACCACCAATTTGTCCGACGACGATTAATTGGAGCTCGTCTAGATGATTTTGGATTATTAACGTTTAACCTTTGTCCTTCAAATCAACTTTCCTCGTTTTTTTTTTTTTGTTTATATACCCCCAGCCTGCTTAGCGTTCCAAAATCCCTGGGATTTTCTTCCGTTTTTAAGACAGACACACACACTTCACACACGTACATTTAACTAGCTCTTAAGGATCAAATTGGAACGGATGAAAGCTGTCCATAAAGCCAAGCTAAAAAACCGAACCAAAGCCACTTTCACTTGTTATGTTTCGTTCTTCCACTTTTAACCAAAAGACAAGAAAAGGCAAGCGGAAAATGAAACAATAAAAAATAAAAATTAAATGAAAAGAAAACAAGAAAACCATAAAAATAATGAAGAAGACTGTTTCTGAAACAACAACACGGCTTATTTTTTTTTGTAATTTTCAAAACTCGTTTTCGAAAGTAACTTTATCTTGAATTGTTTGGTTTTCTATACATTCCCAAAAAAAACTTTGCCTGGGTTGTGTGTGTGTGTGTGTGTGCGCGTCTTGGTGTGTGCCTGAGAGTGCGAGTGTGTGTATGCTTGTTTTCTTTATATATAAAGATATATACTAAATATATATACATACATATATATATATATATATATATTATAAAATATGCAAGCATTAAGCCAAACATTTGAGTTGGGGATATGTTTCCATTTGTGCGGTTCAGAGCTGTGAGGGCTTAGTAAAAATATATATATAAACATACATATGCAAACATTAACGTCTAAAAATATATATATTATATACTTTTTAAAAACTAAAGCGAGCTTTTTTTAAACCTAATTTTTACCCAAACAAAAAATATAAAAAAAAGTAAATGAAAAAAGAGAGCCATAATTTTAAAACCACCTTTGATCTCTTGTTGCAGCTCTGAGTCGCACGGTGCCAGTAAAAATATATTTAATTTAAAAAACAAAAGAAACAAAATGGAAAATCATAAAGAAAATAAGTTAGTTTTTGGATGCATCTCCAAGGCCTAAGGAACACACACACACACACTCAAAAATCAAATGAAAACGTCCAGAAATAAGAGTATTTTTTTCGCAAGCAGTGCTTCTGGATTTAGATTATATCCAGCACACACATACATATACAATACATACAAAATATTAAGAAGGAGCCGCCGATGCATTTACACCTGGATTCCAAGATCCCCAGGCTAAATCTTGCACAGCTTGCAGCAGCAGCACCCAAAATAAGCTTTGCACACCGAAATGCTGAAGAAGATAAAGGGGAGAGAAGAGCATGATACCGTTATACAAGATAGTACCCCAAGAATGAGTGCGAGTGAAAGGATCAAAAGAGAGTAAATATTAACCCTTATATGGTGCCAGTTTTAGGTTTTAAGTTTTTTTTTTTTATTTAATTATTAAATATTTAAAGCTTAAAATTAGGTGTTTTTATTTAGTTTTATTTAAGACCTTAATTCTTAAATGGTAATTTTTCTTTTGCTTAAGTAAGGTTTAAGGATTTGTTCCACTCAATGCTACATACATATGGGCTCTCTCTTTGCTTAAATGCTTAGCTTTCTCTCCGCTCTCTCAGAGAGCCAAGCTTCACAAAGAGAAAGCAAAAGAGAGCCTGGTACCACCTTCTTAGCATACTGGCACCATGCTTACAAACCTTTCTATAAACAAATGAGCGCCGACTACCTTGTATAATGGCATCATGGCTTAGAATTGATTTGGAGAAAGAGTTCCGAGTTCCGTGAGGCATATATAGGGTGGGGGTGGGGGTAAAAGGGGGGACTATACCGTATGTAACCGTGTATTACTGTGTATTGTGAGTCTATATAACTGTGTATAACTGTGAAGCATTGACAAGTATTTGAGATGATCTGTATTTTTGTAAGCGTAATATTTAAAAAGCAAACAAGAAAACAAAACAAATCCAGAGAAGCAAACTATTATATAGCATAAGATATCGGGCGCGGCACACTTGCAGCAACACAATTGATTTGCTCAACATACACACACACACACATAATATATACATACAATATATATATATACAAAAAAAAATATGTAACGCAAAGTATAAGGCTTGCATTTACGAGCGGGAAATATCCTCCATATATATGTATATGTTATCACTAATTTGCAAAGAAAAGCTAAAAACTAAGTCCATGTATACAAATATAAAACAAAAACAAAACACACACACACAACACACACTATATTGAATGTTTTTGCTTGTTAAAGTGAATAATAAAGAAGAAAAAACAATGCTGGATTGAATTTATATTTGGAAAGGGATGGAAAAACTGAAGACTAACTAAGGAATTTTCAAGTTTTCAAAGAAATTTCCAGAAATTTCTTAAATATTCTATATTTTAAGCTTAAGATCTCTAAAATATTTTCCATATACATATCACTTTAAGACTGAGATTGTTCCTGCAACAACTTATCCCTTTTGCTTTGCTGAGCTGTCAAATGGCTCTGCACAAAACTCTGAAAGTTCTGATCCTCTGCAGAGCCTTTGGCATCTTCCTCCATGTCCTCGACCTCCTCCTCCTCGTTGGATTGGGGCACCAGGCCGGGTGCCATGAGAAATATGCTGTTGCCAGAATTTGGTGGAGGATCCTAAAAAGAAAAACCAAGTTAAAAATTAAATTCAAGAGCAGTTTCTAGTAATCCCAGTTAACATACATTTAGTTTTAAACCCAAAGGAACAGCCACGCCCGCTTCTTCCACATTGTCCGGTGGCTTGGGGCACAACGCCGCCTGCTGCTCGGCCAGTCGCTCCTTACGCATCTTCTCGTACACCGGCTTGTAATCCTTGTCGTATTCAACCACACAGTCCAGGATATGCTTGATTAGCTGGGCAAAACCCACGCCCGTTTTGGCCGAAACGCCACAGGTGGTGAGGTTTTCGTAAAAGGTATCCAGAGTTAGGGACATGGTGCGTGTGAGGTTACTCACAAAGCTTTGCTCCTGCTCCAAGGCATCCTGGAAGACCTCAAAGTCTGTCATCCAATCCTGGACATAGCTGCAGTCCTTAAGGTCAATCTGTACGAGGATATAAAAAGGTTAAAAAACCCCAAAACAAAAGCTTTAAAGAAAAAAATCTACCTTATTGAGAGCCACCAGGAAGGGCAGTCGGGTCTTGTACAGAATGGAGCAGGCATAGAGCATGTTGGACATGAAGGTAGTGGGGCAGGCGCTGCGCACCACATCCATTACGTAGACTACAATGGTGGGGAACATGGTGGCCAGTCCCTCGGTGATAATATTGCCCGAGGCGGACCAGGTGAACACCTCGATCTGGCCGGGTGTGTCGATTATACACCATTTGTGACCGCGCTCTCCGGCTCGCCTTACCAGCTCCGCAAACTGGGCCATTTTCGTGGTGAACATATTAAGAGCCGTCACAATGCCACCATTTGGCCCCAATTGATATTGCTTCATCACCTCCCGGTAGTTGACCGTGTCCCGGATATCCACGTGGGCGGCATATGGCACTTCTCGGCAGGCGGGATCCAGATTAACCACATACGGATTGAACTTCTCCTGGGCATGCTGGATGAGACTCCGCGTAAAGGTGGTCTTCCCGCTGCCGGCCATTCCCAGCACTATGATGCAGACGGGCGCCTCCCGGATGCCCTCGCTCAAAGACAGGGCCTCCATTTTGATGCTATCCACGCCAGCAGCCATTATTTTCACTTGGAATTTCACTTTTTGATGAAATTAAATCAAAATAAAAGCCAAAAGAGGATGGCGCAAACGTGCGCTTCTTAGGGATGGGAAATCGTTCGACTGGCAGGTTATCGATAGGGGGTATCGTGGGAAAAAATACTGAAACTATTAATATTAATTTTTTTTAAATAAAACTTGGTGTTTATAAGGGCCTAAAAAATAATAAAAATTTATAAATAAAACCAAATCAAAGCACAATTTCAAATAAATTACACAAACATAAAAAAAGTTGGTATTTTAAAACAGAAATACCAAATTATAGTGGCTATCGATATTTATCTACCGGCTCTCACCACCAGCGATAGACAACGGTAAAAGCAAAAACAAGCGCGAAAAATTTGCCGAATAAGAAGTGAAAAGGCGTAAAAAGTGTTAAAAGTATTGAATTAATCAAGTTTTAAAGTGCAAAAGTGTAAAAACAATAATGGAAACCCGTCTGGCGGTGCGTTTGAAGGAGCCCAATCCTCTTTTTACCCGCTGGCTGGAGCGTTGGCTGCGTGAAGCGGAGCGTCGCCAGCAAAAGTCTCAATTCAAGCTTCGACAGGCTCTTGAAGCCCTAAAATGCTATCCCCTGCCCTTGTACAGCGGCCGGGACTGCGCTATTTTGCGTGGATTTGGCGGCACTCTTTGCCAAATGATTGACGAGGAGCTGCGCCAGCATCGCGTTGTTAACCTGTTGCCGCCAACGGCAACCACGAGCGAGCAATACGAACAACAGGTGCAACAGGTTGTTAGAAAGGTGCAGGAAAAGCAGGAGGAGCAGGCGCAGAAGAAGAAGCAGAGGGAAAAGAAGCCACGCAAGCCCACCAAAAAGGATCTCCAAGAAATGGCAGCTGCCGAGGAGAGGGAACGCCGCGTGGAGATGCCACCCGGCAGCTTTGAGATCCTTCTTCTCGTGGACATTCAAGAGACAAGTGGCAAGAACAAGCGGGTGCTGGATCAAACGCGCAGCTATCTGGAGTCTCTAGGAGCCCAGCACGAGGTGCGTCGTCTGACCATTGGCGATTTCCTGTGGATAGCCAAGGATCCGGCAGGCAATGAACTGGTCCTGCCCTACATTGTGGAAAGAAAGAGAATGGATGATCTGGCGTCCAGCATACGCGATGGTCGCTTCCACGAGCAAAAGCACAGGCTTAAGCAGAGCGGCCTGAAGCATGTCATCTACCTGGTGGAGGATTATGGCGACAATGAGCAACTGGGTCTGCCCCTGGACTCTCTGCAGCAGGCCTTGGCCAATGCCCGGGTTCAAAACGGTGTCCAGGTGGTGCGCACGGAGAATCACTTTCGCTCCATGGCTTATTTAGCCAGCATGAGTCGCTCGCTGGCCCAGATCTTTGGCCAAAAGACCCTGCACAGTGTGCAGGACAAAGCCGAAAGCTGTTGCCTGCTCACCGACTCCAAACTGGGCTTGCTCAAGTTTCGTGCTTTGTACGACGATTCCGCCAAGAATGCCCAGCTAACAGTGCGTGAGGTCTTTGTCCAGCAGCTCCTACAGCTGCACTCGCTCTCCCTGGAAAGAGCCATGGCCATTGTGGAGCGTTATCCCACACCCCGCTGCCTTCTAGATGCATACGAGGAGTGTGTGGAGGCGAAGGAAGCCAGGCAGTTGCTCGCCCGCATACCCTATGGTCCGCTGGAACGTCCGCTGGGCGAGAAGGTCAGTCAGTGTCTGCATGAGTTTTATACAACGCAATTTCGTTAGGATTAGCAATTGATTTAATGGGACATATCTAAGGTTATATACACGAATTTATACATTAAGTGTGTGAGAGAGAGAGTTGGAGAATACGACAAGTGTCTAGTCTAAGCCAAATATACAAGTTATCAGATGTTACGGAAATGCCTAATGGCCAGATCCACCGGCAGATCAAAGTCAAACCTGGACAGAGCATCAATAGAGCGCAAGGAGTCGCGGAATCCTGTTCGAGCCACATAGCTGCTTGACGAGTAGTATGTGTCCACCAGCTCATGGCAGCTCAGGATCAAATTCAGCCACTCAACCAGCAAATGGGAGCTGCAAAGAAAGAGCAACCAATAAGTAAAGGAAGGAGGAGCACCTCCACAACTACACTACTCACTTGAGTCCCGCACATACAAATGCCTTGAAGTGGGCATTGTTACTCCTCTTGTATGGCCTGTGCATGGCCAGGATCATGCCCACAGCACTGAGCAGACTCTGCTTGGCCGTCACCGCCTGGGCATCCACTATGTCCAGCTGGAAGCTCTGCGACAACTTCCGGGCAGGCGTATTATTATACTCCTCTCCATGCTTTAGCCTGTAGTAAGCCAATACCAATTCCCAGGCATGCATGGCCCTGCCCAGGCCCATAAACTGCGAATCTCCTCCTGCAGCTGCAGGTATCACAGCGGCCGGTGGACCAGGATGCAGACATCGCATAAAGGGCACCATCAAACTGGAGGCCGCTGATTCCGCTGGTATCCTTAAACCATGCTGTATCAATTGCTGCAACGTCCGGGCAAAGTTCTTCCGTACCACTGTGGTCAATTCCCTTCCAATTGTGGCTATGGAATCACCACGCAAACGCCGGCTCTTGCCCTCCTTTTCCCACTCGAAGTTGGAGTAGCTGATGTCCTCATCGGAGTCCGAGGAAACGGCTCCACCGCAGGCCGCATAGGGGGCCAGTTCATGGCCAGTGGGCACAGCTCGTCGGCAACGTGGCGGAATGGTGGTTAGTGCTCCATTTTGGGCATTAATGGATGGATGCTGGTTTGTAGAGGAAGGGCAGGACGAGGACTCCTGCTGCTGCTGCTGCTGTTGCTGATGACGTAAAGCCCGCTTGATATTGGCCAGTTTCTCGCGATCGCAGCTCAAGGTGGCAGCCAAGGCGGCCACCTCCTGGATATCCACTTCCAATTGGGCGCGGAGATCTCTGAAAAGCAGGAGAAAAGAACAACAAAAGGTCAAAAGGAAGCAACTTGATTCTTCAAAGCTGTTTTAAAAGGTAAATAAAATATTTAAATAAATATATAATAATTTCTAATAATTTTTAATAACTTTTTAAAATGTGTAATAATTTTTAATAATATATATATTTTTGTTCATAATTTTTAATAATTTTTAGTAGTTTTTAATAATATTTAATATATTTTAAAAATATTAAAAAAATATTGAACATTAAAAAAAAAAATATTATAAACTATTTAAAAACTTTAAAAATTATGAAAATGGTTTTAAAATATTTTTTATAGTTTTTAACATTAATAATATTAATATTAAAATTTATTCAAAAATATTAAAGCTGTTAAAATTTTTTTGATTTATTTTGTATAGTTTTTAATAATTTTAAATAATTTCCAATAATTTTTAATGATAATTTTCAATAATTTTGAATAGTTTAAAAACAATTTTTAATAGTTTTTTATATTTATTAAAATTTTTAATCATTTGTAATAAATTTAAATAATTTGTAATGATAACGTTTAATAATTTTTTAACAATTTTTAATAATTTAAAAAATAATTTTTAATAATCTTCAATAATTTTAAATTATTTTTATTAATTTTTTAGCTCAAAAAACTCACCCCCAGTGGTTGCCTTTGTGCGTTTTCTTCAACGAATTCTGCTGGAAATCGTCATGTCGCGGCTTCACCAGATGCGTGCTCGCAAACATTTGCATCAGGAGCGAGGCCTTGTCCAGCAAACCATGTGCCTTGCTGTGGAGACTTTCGCCGGAAGAGGAAGAACCACCACCACTAGACGATGGAGGCAGAGCTGCTGTCGTGGCAGGTGAGTTTTTAGCTCCAACTTGGGAAGGAGCCGTGGGCGGAGGGGCAATCTGTGAGCCACTGCGAGCTGTCTGCTTGGCCGCATAGCTATTGTAAGCACCCGAAAGTAGCTTTAAGCGATCACCCACCGAGCTTTGATCCGCATCGCACTGTAGGAAGGCAATGAAGCGTTCAAGATCGGTTATCTGGGTTTTTAGCTGGGCCACCAGCTGCTCCTTCATCTTCAAGGGACCCACAAACTCGCCAATGGCATTGTCCACCTGATGGCGCAGCTGCTCGGTGCTGAGGGCCGGCAGCTCATGCTGTTCCACTTGAAGATTAAGCTTGGCCCGCAGCTCATCCAGGATAAACTTTTGCTTTTCGAGCAGCACATGCTGCGGCAGGATGCCAGGCTCACCCGCCTCGTAGGCCAGCTGCTCCAGTTCCGTCAACTGAGACTTGAGTTGCTCTATAAGTTGGCTATCCGCGCCAGCTTCCTTTTCTGAGGAATCCTGCTTGGCCTGCTTGACCGTAGCTTCCTCCTTGGGCTGAGCGGCATCTGGTATGCCCTGGAAGGCAAAGTCCTCTAGATCGCGTAACAGTTGATCTCGCTCCTCCGCTGGAGCCTCCACAATCTGGCGCACTCGCAGCTGGACGTGGGCGAAATGGGAAGTGAGAGCTAAAAGCGAACTGGTGAGCAACTCCTGCTCATCCTCAATGCTACGGAGGCGTGCCAGCTCGCTGCCAGCACTGCCACGACGCGTCTCCGACTTCTCCAGGCCCGGCTCCAGTTCACAGTCCACGCCCGAGCTGGCGCTGTTGGCATCGTCATAGTTGGCGCCCAGCGGGGACCAGCGTTCGCTTAGGAGTTCTTGTTGCTCCTGTTCGGGCTCCAGCTCGGCTTCCTCCTCCTCCTCCTCTGGATCCTCTGGTTCCTCTGGCTCCTCTTCGGATCCAGCTGGCGGCAGCTGGCCTTCTACGTTGCAGGAGGAGTCCTTGGACTCGAGCGTTAACTGGGCCTCGGCCATTTTCATTTCCATATGGAAATGGTGGCGAGGTCTGGCCTCTGATTTTACCTCCTTTTGTGTTCCTGGTTTTCCTAGGTTTCTCTATTGTTTTCCTTGGGTTTCCTCTTGTTTTTTCGTTGTTTGCTTGGGCGAGAAAAATCAATGGGTGGCTTGTTCCGCTTTCTGTGCCAGCTGGCCCAGCTCCCTTGCTTTCTCTTTCTCTTTATCGCCTCGGTTCTCTTTGGTCTCTCCTTTGGTCTTGCTTGGCAGGGGATGATGGGATGCGATGAGCGCGTGGCCACGGCTACTGACGCACTGCCAGCTCATGGGGAAGCCACAGCCAAAGCAGGAAGCTTTTCTCTTTTGGGGGGGGGATTCCTTTTTTGGGGGTGCAAAGTGGACAGCTTTAAGCTGTTCTCCCACGCAATTTGGGGTTGGTATCTTTGATTATTGGGCTTTTTTATATCTTTTTTAGATAACAGTCAAGTTTTTAACAAGGGTTAAAAAGGGTAAAGCTTAAGATGGAAACTTTTCTGTTGGGGGTAAATTTTTAAGGAAGCTTTAAGCTGGTGTTCTGTTGGCGGTAAGTTTTTAAGGAAGCTTTAAGCTAGTTTTGTCTCCATTGGGGATGGTATTTGGGTTAAGGGAGGACACCTATATGGCTATAAAATTGTTTCTGGGTATCAATAAAGTTCCTAGCAAGGGTTTAAATTTTAAATCTGTAAATTCTAAGCTTGAATTGCTAAGGGTGAGTTACAAAAAAAGGCTTTAAGCTGATGTTTTCTGACTTGGGGGATGAACTAAGAAGAAGAAGGTATTTAAAAGTTCCCAAAAAGGGTATTCAATAAGCTTAAAGCCTTTCCCAATAGGGTTGAATTATATAGAAGCTTAAAGCTAGTCTCTCCTGACTTGGGGGTTGGTTTTCATGTTAAGAAAGGAAGCTGTAAAGCTACATTAGCCTTTCTAAAGATCATTTAAGTTGCTGACAAGGGTTAAAAGAACAAGCTTAAAGCTAAACTAAGCTGTAACTAAACTTAACTTTAAAGCTAACCTTCCCTATAAGCTTACAGTATACTTTTCACCACTTCCGCCCCTCCTTAAAGCTCTGCAAGTCCCAAAGTTGTCACAAATTCCTCAAGTTTAACACTCCCCCTTTGGTGGGTGGGAAGGCAGTCGGGTTCTCATGAATCAATGACAATTATGACCTACATTACCAAACGTTTTTGGACAGAACATTGACCGCAGCGGGGGAACACGCATAGAACACGCTGCCCAGCCCCCCACTCTCACACCTTCTCCTGGTTAAAGATAATGAAATCCCCGGTATTTTCGCGTGTCTACCGATAAGGCACAGGCAGGCAGCAGCAGCAGCAGCAGCGGAGATTAAGCCGCAGCGAAACAAGTTGCGGTCTTCGCTGCTGACAGCGCACCTTATCAACAGCCGGGCTTGATGATGGGCCAGATAAGTCTGTCAAGTGTCTGACACAGCAACCATGGCGGTCATTTTGGGGTCACCCAACCCCCAACCCCCACCCCCCACTATGCGAGAAGTGGCAGCTAACCAGGAAACCCAAGTCCAAAATGGACTTCCCAACGTCGTCACAACACGAAATAATAATAAGATAATGTTAGCTAGGGAAATTAATTGAGTTTGAAAGAAACCAAGGTAGATTATACTTGATACTAGAGTTGTAGATGATATAGGCTTTACTACTTAGCAGATAAGAAGCTAAAGATATTAAATGAAACTATCGTTTTCAATATCATAAACGAGTAGAGACTTTATTATGTTCTTAGAGTGGGATTTTAGTTGGAAATTAACTATCCAATTATTATACTTACTCTTTAAAGAAGTGATTTCCTCTGAAACTATAAGTTTCTGTAGTTTTTCCAATTTATTCCCTAGAATTTGTCTTTGATTATAAGAATATCCGTTACGAAAACCCCCATCTTTACCCTTGCACAAAACTTCTTTTGTTCAGTGTGGTTACAATTTATTTATTTCAACAAACAAACAAAAAAAAAAAAAAAATAATAATAAAGAAGAAGGAAGCGATGAAGGAATGTAATGGAGAAAACGTAATTACGGAGAACGCTTAACGAGGCGTCAGATTGTGCTTGCCACCGTCGATGGGAAAGAGGGCGCCGGTGGTGAAGCTGGCCTTGGAGCTGGCCAAGAAGGCCACGGCCTCGGCCACTTCTGTAACATCACCCACACGGCCCATGGGATGCGCGTTAATGGCCCGCTGCAATACACCCTTATAATCCTCATCCGCAATGCCGAAGGTCTTGTGAATATTCGTCACCACAAAGCCAGGATTCACCGAATTGACGCGCACACCCTGCGGTGCCATCTCCATGGCCACGATTTTGGTAAACTGATCGAGGGCAGCCTTCGAGACGCCATAACTCAAAGCACCGGCAAATGGACGAATGCCAGCACAGCTGCTCACATTAACCACGGCTCCCTTGGTCTTCAGTAGATGCGGCAGGACAGCCTTAGTCAGGAGGATAACGCCACGCAGATTGGTATTCATCACAGAGTCAAACTCCTCAATGTCCAGATCGATGAGACCGCCCGCGCCCAGAATGCCGGCATTATTAACCAGAACATCGATGCGTCCGAATTTGTCCAAAGTCTGTTTGACTATGGCCGCCGCATCCTTGGTCACATCAGCCACCACAATTTCGGCTTTGGTGCCCTTCAGATTATTCTTGGTGGCCTCGAGATTCGCGACGTTGCGTCCCACCAGGGCCAAAGTGGCACCTTCGCGGGCCAGTACCTGGGCAATGGCAGCACCAATGCCGCTGCTGGCTCCCGTCACGATCACCACCTTGTTGCTGAGACTCATCTTGGACAACTGTAGCCGGCAAGGGCTGGCAGTGGGCATTTATGGACCTGTTCCCAGCTAGCTTCTCTCTCTCTCTCTCTCTGATTGGAATACCTCTGATAAGATTACAGCTTTGGGCTTTGCACTCAAAGAAAAAGAAACTTTTTTTATCTGTAAAAAAAAAGAGTGTAAATAGTTTGACAATTTTCAGTTTGTTTATTTGTTTATCTTTTATTATGTTTTAAAAATAGAACAGAAGATTTATGGTTTTTTTTAGAGGTGAAAACTTTCCTAGCAAAGTTAAATCAAGTTGAAAACAAATTTTTTTTGGGATTTGGTAAATTTATAAACATTAAACAAGATTTTTTTTAAAGAAAGCCCCTTCTAGCCTATTTGTGGCTAAAACCAGTTGGGAATTTTAGTGTAAAGCTAGATTTTTTTATCCAAAATATTGAATTTTCATTAGAATTGAAGAAGTATAAGTCATAGAAGCAAAGAAGTTGCTTTTTACTATGAATATTCAGCTTGTATATAACCAGGTTGTGGCTGAAACCCTTTGGGAATTATAGGGCAAAATATGTTGTAGAGGTCTAGCTTTAAAATTTATAAAAGAAAAATAGCTTATGAATTAAAAATCAAATTTATTTCCCTTACTATTATGTTCTAAGTTAGAACCCCTTAGGAATTATCTGCTCTATTATTTTTGCCAGTGTAAATATGACGTAAATCGTAGTTTAAGGTAAGCTCTCTGGAAAAACAACCTGTTGAGTTTCACCTTGGGGGCCCGTGGGTTCTCGGGCGTGTTGGTCTGGTCTTTATCGATGCTCTAGCATCGCATTAGCACTCGGTTGCGACTTGGTAGCGCGTTTTAAAAGTCATAGAGCTTAGAGAGCCAGAGAGGCCGAAAAAGTTTTTAATTAAAACTTTCCATGGGTCTCTTGTCTGATTTCAAACATTTGTGAAATCATCATGCCTGGTCACAAACACTAACGCCCAGATGACGGGCCTCCTCCTTCCAGGGTTCAAATTCAAGTCGAGCGGCTCCGTTGTCAGATAATTAGCATTTCCATTTGGCTTGAGTACCCGCTCGTATATCAACGCCTCCCGGGCGGGAGATAAGGCTACGGGGGCACAGCTGTCGAGGCATTTGGAGGACACTCTCTCTATAGAAGATAGAAGCACCAGTTTCTCCAGTTTCTCTTGTTTTTAGATACGATTTTTCTTCTTGTGTAATGAATTGTGGGACATTTGGGCCTAATCGTTTTTCTCCAGCTAAGCGATTCTCTTATTCTCTTTCTCTGTTTTGGCAATTATTCAAAATCTATGAGCAAATGGATTAATTAATTAAAATAGTAGTGACGACGAAGGGCCTAAAGCTATTATTTTTTCTTAAAAAGGATAAAGGCTTAGGGTGGGGTTTTTTATTTCTTGATAATTATAATTAAGTACCCAAAAAAGACGGTTAAACTTGAGAGCGAAACTGAGTGAATTTCACAAATTGGATAAAGCGAAATCATGATTGATTTAATGATTTTAATTAATAACAAAGAGAGTAGGGACACACACACATTACAAGTATGTGTGGGGTTCAGTCACTGAGTGCTCTCTAGTTACACTTCTCCGCCCCCACTTGGATTTAACTCAATTTGTTGTGAAGAAGGGAGGCGTGTCACAATGTTACATAAGCCCCGAGTGCCATTCGTCGTCGTCGTTGTCCCTGGATTCCCCTCTTGCATTTGTTGCTTGATTTCACTGTGCAGTCACTTTCACGCCAAGTCAATGCCAGGACAGGACCTTCTAGACTTCCTTAAACCCCCCCCCAGAAGATGCATTGATAAGTGCCCAGCGGTTTATGGAAATTGATGTAGAGGAATTCATGTAATTGACAAGCGCAAACGAGAAATTGCATACAAATTGCTTAATCCTAGAAACTTGCAATCTAAAATAAATTAACTTTTAATTAAACCAAAGCAAAAGGGGACACAGCAAACAAACAAACAAATATATAAAAAAAAACAAAAAAAAAAAAAAGAAAGTAAGGAAGATAGTGCAAAATAAATGAGAAGGAAGTGCAAATACCCTTGGAAAAGTCACCAGGAGAAGACTCTTCCAAGAGTCCTTGCTTGATGCTAGGTGAAATGCTTTTGTCGGTTTAAATTGGTAAATAAATGGACAAACTTGTGCAATAAATATCCCAACCTCCCCCTTTTCTAAAAGTTGAGGGAGAACTTAAACTAAGAATTAAGTTTAAATACTATGTACAGCAATGGACTTGACTCCTGACTCCAGACTCCTCTTGTTGTCACTTCACTTCAGGGCAGCCTTGTTCTTCAGCGGCAGAAAGGCGGCCATCAGACAGCCGGCTGTAAAAAGGGTTAGGGATAAGGTTTAAGTGGATATATATAAACCAAAAGGAGTAGAGTAGGTAGTAGTTACCAACACTTACCCAACATGAACAGGCTGACCATGAAGAAGGGCGGCACACAGCCCAGTCCCATTAGAGCTGGGAAGAAGATGTTGCCCAGCAAAGAGCCCAGGCGACCGAACATCATTTCCAGTGAGACAATCATTGTCCTTGGCAAAAGGGATTACACACACAAACATATATAGATAGAAAGTCTAACACTCACCTGAGCGAGGTGGGAAACAGGTTGACAGAGGCACTGATTACCGATGTGGCCGATATGCTGCCCATGGTCACAAATAGCGAGGCAATGGCCACCGTAGATATGGCTGAACTGGACCAGTACATGCCAATGGAACAGCAGCCAGCCACAAAGAGACCCATTGCTTTGGGGTAAAGAAATATATTACAAAAAGAATGAAGTAGAGTTATTCAAAGATACTCACTCATAATACGCTTGACGCCCACTAAATTAACCAGGAAACCAGCCAACATGTAGGCCACAAAGCCCGCGGCAGCCACTATTAGATTGTTGGTATATGTGGAGGCAGTGATATTTACATGACACTCTGTCATGGGATCATTACGAGTGGCTGCCTCCAGCTGGGCCTGAGTGCGATTCACACTGTACTCCAGGATGCTGCAAATACTGGTGGATCCTGACTCACCCTTAACCACCATCAGCTGTTCGTACTCATTGATCGAGGCAAAGAGCTGGGGCAGCCACAGGCGCATGGTGTTCTGGCTGTTTATATTTAAAATAAAATATTAAAAAGGGTTTATTCAGGCTTCTTAAGGGTTATGACAAACTTACCCCAAGAGCACACAAAAGTTGAGCAGGTAAACCCAAAGGGACAGACCCAGATAGGGCTTGGTGAACAGTGGTCTTAGCTGCGAGAAGCCTGAGGTCTTCTTTAGCTCTGGTGTTTTGGTACCCTGCTCGGGATCATCTAGTTCATTGTTATTCTCAATGGGCGGCTTGATTTCGTTAGAAATAGTCTTATGCTCTTTGTGCTTTTTGGGCTCTGGCACTATGACTTCATTGGCCAGCAACTTGATCTGTTTTTTAGAGGTTTAATTAATATTTATTTTGAAATTTTTAACTTGTTGAAAAACTCACTGGAAATGAATCCTTGGGCTTGCGAGTATTTAAATGAAACATAAACTTGAAGGCATCCATGGCCTCCTGATTGCGTCCTTTGGACATGAGAAATTTGGGGCTTTCCGGAAAGAAAAAGAAGAGCAAAAAGCTCAGAAGACTAGGCAGGGCGGTGATGGCCACAAAGACTTGCCAGGAGGAGACTGGAAATAAGAGATGAATAAGGGATAATTAAGGGGTAAATAATGGATAAATAAGGGATAAATAATGGATAATTAACGGATAAATAAGAGGTAAATAAGGGATAAATAATGGATAAATAAGGGATAATTAACGGATAAATAAGAGGTAAATAAGAGATACAATATTTATAATTAAGAGATAATTAAAGGATAAATAAGGAATAAACAAGGCATAAATAACATATAATTAAGGTATAATGAAGGGATAAATAAGGGATAATTAATGAATAAATAAGAGATATATAAGATCTATATCTATATCTATCTATCTATAAGATCTAACTTTAGGTAATTTAAGTTTATATTTTGTAATCATTGACTTGTTTTGGATTCATAAAAAACAGCTACCAACCGGTTTCAAAACCTCCTTAAATGGGTTATAACATCACTGATTATAAACTCTACAAGTGCCCTACTTTAATAGCTTGTGTCTGACTTGATTTGGAAATTATAAAAATTTATAACTAAAAACCTGGTCAAACAACTTGTTCGGCGCGTGGAGGATGAATCGTATTACTGATTGCTCTCAGAGAAATTAGAGCTTCATCAGCTGTTCCCTCGGTAGCTTATCTATCAGTTTTATCTGTTTATCTAACCAAAAGCTTATCGTCACTTTCAACACGTAACACACACCCTCGGGACACTTACGCGACAAAGTCCAGATGTGTATGTCCCACTCCTGGGGCAAAATTAGCATGGCCAAACCAGGTAGCGTCAAGGTGGCTATAGAGAACATAATGCCCACCATCATCATGATGCGCTGGCGATGTTGACGTCCATGGAGTTCCGTTAGATACGTCATAAGCACAGCAAAGGGGCCACTCATACTGAAATCAAACCAAATTCATTCACAACTTTTATTCTATATGGTATATATATGTACGAATAAAACTCGAGATAAACTCACCAGAAACCCCCCAGATACTTGAAAACCATCAGCTGGATTCTATTCTGACTGAAGGCTCCTCCAAGGACACAGAATGTATCCGCGGCATAGCCCAGGATGAGGAGATTTCTGCGTCCTTTTGTATCCGCCAGGTAACCCCACATCACCGCTGAACTGATCATGCCCGCATAAGTGATGGCATTCAGTATACCCTTGTCCAGCAGGCTCAACTGAAGGTCACACTCGGCACTGGGCAGGATGTAGGACATTGTGGAGGTCTCGTAAACAGTGCCCATGGCCGCGGGCACAGCGGCCACCAGGAGTAGGATATTGAACATTCCAAAGCCAGCGGCATCGATGGCGGTTTCAAAATCTGCTGGCGCTGCTGCTGGTGTTGCTGTTGAGTCTGTGCTAGGTGCCACCTCTTTTGGGTTGGAATCTGGATCCGCCTGCTCGGTAATCTTGGGTAGCTTGGGAACTTTGGTTGCACCCATCGTGTGTGCTTAGTGCTTGGATCGCCTGTGCTAACTGAACTTGAGGCGTTGGGCGGTAACGTTATATCTTCCCAGACGGCGCTGGGGCCTCAAATCAAATCTTTGTTGACAGTAATTGTGGAAAGAAAACATAGCAGCGATGCTGTGATTATCTAGAGACATGGGGATTACCCTGTAGGAAGGTAATGCTTACACAGATGACACCTCATGTTCACCCTTTCACCTCCTGGAAGTTCATCAAGAAGCTTTTCCATTGGGCGAGACCTGAAAGCAATTAATGGGTTTACACCTCTTCCAGTTTATTCAGGGTTTTATGGGGGTCCCCAGGCCCAGCATCACCTCTATCATCATCATAAGTAGTATCTACAGTGTCTACAGTATCAACAGTATCCGTATCAGTATCATCAGGTCCCTCGTACTTGGTGATCACTCCACCTACGACTGTCCACGCGAATGGTAGGCTTTATGGCCACCGTGATTTCGGTTAACTGATTTCTGTTACCTCCCCAGACGTAACACTCAGTGGGGTATATGCTTCAGACGAAAAGGGTTAGAGTCTGGGGGTTTATTAAAGGTTTTTTTATATATTTTGATATTTTTTATATTTTTATATTCTTATATTTTTCTATTTTTAAATTTTTTATATTTTATATTTTTATATTCTTATATTTTTATATTTTTATATTCTTATATTTTTATATTCTTATATTTTTATATTTTTATATTTTTTATATTTTTATATTTTTATATTTTTATATTTTTATATTTTTATATTTTTATATTTTTATATTTTTTATATTTTTATATTTTTATATTTTTATATTTTTATATTTTTATATTCTTATATTTTTATATTTTTAAATTTTTTATATTTTATATTTTTATATTTTTATATTTTTATATTTTTATATTTTTATATTTTTATATTTTTATATTTTTATATTTTTATATTTATATTTTTATATTTTTATATTTTTATATTTTTATATTTTTATATTTTTATATTTTTATATTTTTATATTTTTATATTTTTATTTTTATATTTTTATATTTTTACATTTTTACATTTTTATATTTCTATATTATTTTTGTATTATTATTATTATTAAAATCCTTTCCTAAACAGGATAATCCTGGCTTCAATATATATTTTAAGCTTATTTAAATTAAAATTTCTCCTGAACCCTGCTTTTTGCAATTATAAATTTGAAAAACAATTGTGAAATTTGTGTAGTTGGTACTTTGCAGTCGAATTCACTGATACGTAAAGAAAAGGCGGGGGTTCGCACCTGTTTTGATTGCGGCTCCTATGACGACATGGACCCACCATTTGCCATTTTCCCATTTGCCAGCTTTGCCCAGTTGCCAGGCTGTCGCTGTGTCGTCGTCGTCATCGGGCTAAAACTAATTGCGATGATTACGGGTTATGAGTTGGTTTCCCTGCAAAACTTTTCGGGATTACGATTACTCATGTAGGAGCTTAGTGCTGTGGTTTGGTCCGGGTCCGGGTCTGGTGCTGGTGCCGGCGTGTGCTGCGATTTGTTTGTCGCAAATCTGGCCAGCACAGTGGGGAGGCAGCTCTGTGTGTGTGTGTGCCTGGCATAGATCAGGATTTGATAGTAATTAAGCGGGCTTCGAGGCGGAAGAATCGAGAGGGAAGAACTAGTAATTAGGAGGAGATTAAGACCGCAGCGAGGGCTCAAAGGCAGCCTTCCAAACGCTCTAGTGTTGAGTAATGCTTGCAAAAAGGATTTTGTGGTGTACCTTAAGGAGAGGTCCTTTAAACATAAGATTATTTGTCAAGAGCACAAGCTCTCTTTGGTTAAGGAAGAGTCCTTAAACAATAAAGGCTTTCTTCTAAGAAAATTTAACTGGCTCTTCTCTTAAATATTAAATTATTTGTAAAGTTTCTCTAATTATATAAATTTACATCTAAAATAATACCTAACATCCTTGATTGTCCTCCTGGAAAAGCTTTTCTGACACTAAAAATGATTCATTTATGCTGTTTCTCCTACAGCCTCCTTTAATTAAGATAAACAAGGAATTTTGCTGGGACCAGGTAGATAGAGGACTCTGTATTTAATGGACATTCCCCATCCCCAAAACACCCGCCCCCCTTTTCTGAGCACTTTCTAGCAGCGTGGAGCCCACTGTTTCTACGGGAGCCATGACCATGTCATTAAAGACATGACGAAACCTAACCAAGATTGAAATTTTTCCACGCTACAATTTGTTTAATTTCATCAGCTACGGATTCTCGGGGGGAGAGAAAGGGAAAAGGGGAAAGGGGGGTAACGTCAACGGATGTCTACGCAAATTTCTTTGCGCTATTATCTAAGTCAAACAGAAGCGAGGCGAACGCCAAAAAGTTTTTCACCTCCAACAATCTGGACGAAGGTGTCAAGGGGTTTTAGGTAGGTGGCAGTTTTACACTGAGAAAAATTCTAAAAAATCATAACTCTGTCAAGAAAGCTTTAAATTTAGTTTGGTTAACTTTTCTATGCTTGCTTTTTCTTAGTTAACAAATTTGCTTACTAAAAATTTAAATTAAAAATAATAAAATTTTTGTTTATTTTCAACATTATTAAATTAAAAAGAAAAACGGATAACATTTATTTTGGGTGAAATTAAATCCAAAAAAAATCATAACTCTGTCAAAAAAGCCTTAATTTTAATTCGGAAAACGGTGTTATGTTAGTTTTTACTTGGTTAACAAATCTGCATTTTTAATTTAATGTTTTAAACAAATTAAAATTTTGGTTAATTTTTGACAACTTCAACGATGTAACTCCTTATAAAATTTTGGAAAAAATTAAAAAAAATTTTTTCACCCCAAACTAGGCTAGAAAGACTCGCCTTTTGATGCTGATTAAGAATATATATGATTTATGGGGTCGGAAAGGACTCCTTGACAGGTTAAAATCATAATACCCTCTTAAGAAGACCGAAAATATTCGAATTTTTTAAATGAATATTTTATAAATTATTTTTTATGTTAATTTTTGGAAATTTGAAATCTTAAAAATATTATAACTAAGCCTAAAAAGCATTAAATTTAATTTGTAAATCTTTAGAGTGGATTTTATATATTAATTTATTAATTTATGCCAATATTTGGAAATATTAAAATTTTTAAAAATATATATATAGTAAAATATATTTTGATAAATTTTAAATTTTTTTTTAACTTAAAGAATTTGTAACTTTGACAAAAAAGCCTTAAATTCAACTCGGTAAGCGTTTTTGTGCTAGTTTTTATAAGTTTAAAAAAGCTGCTTACTAAATGAAGAGTTTTTTTTCATTAATTTTTTTTTTGAATTTTTGTCGTTTAACATTAAAAAAAAAATCAAAAATTAAAAAAAAATTACCAAATTTTTATTTCTTCCAAACCTGTCTAAATCGTTTCGCCTGTTGATGCTGATCAAGAATATATATGATTTTTATGGTCGGAAATGACTCTTTCACTGCGAAATTAGCTTTTAAACTGCAAAAATACAAAAATTAAGAAAATTCCTAAAAAAAAAACCTCCCTTTTCACCGCTTTGCTGACCTTACCTTTACCTTGTTTTCTTTCTCTGTACCCTGCCCAAGTGCTAGTAGTGGCTGCTGGCCGTGCTGTAGTTAACGGCTTTGCATTTTGGACAGCGTCACAACTTGGCAACAAATTGGACTTTTGTTTGTGTTTGTTAAAAGGCTTAATTTGTTGTGCTTTCGGTCTGGGCTGGGGAAACATTATGAGAGGGTGCCGAGGGTAAGGGAGGGGGTGAGGGAGGAGAATGTGGGTGTGGATGATGGGCTTCGGTTTGGCTTGGTTTGGTTTGCTTCTAGGGTATGGATAGTGGTTCCTAGGTTCCCAGGTTCCTCCTGCCACCTGGAGGGCGCTGTGGTTCGGTGGTGGCGCCGACTAAAGTGCTTCGAATAACTTGAGTGAGCTAGAGTATGAGTATGTGTGTGTGTCCGTCCAGGTTGTGTGTGTGTGTGTGTGTTGAGGTGTGTCTGCCTAAATCAAGCTCAAACAATTTCAACTATTTGAATTGCCGAGCCATGGCAAGAGAGCATTAGAGTGCACACACAGAAATACACACGCGCACACCTACACACCCACACCGCACACCGCTTACACTGAACAAAATGTAATCATTGCGTAGCGGGTGAGCGGTAATCCCTTTCCCTGGAATGAAAATATTTCATCAGAATAATCATAATAGGATGATGAGGGATAAGTTGATGATACTCACTAGCAATGATTCACTAAAGTGGTTTACCTTTTCAATGGCAAAACAATAACAAAAACTAATAACAAAAGCGTGTAAATATTTATAGAGAGAGCGGAATTAAAAACGTCGCCGTAAATAAATAACAATTCTCGAGCACCTTTGCCGGGTGGGTCTATAAAAAATGTTATTCTGGAAATTAACCGTAGTAGTTTTGTATTACTTTATATATACTTTCCCGTATACTTTCCTAAATATTATAAATTTACATAATTTTAAAGAAGACATAAGGTTGTTACCAAGTACAAAGCACACAAGAGGCGTTTGCTTGCTTTGCACTAGAATTGCCAAAGGGTTATGGCCTAAAAATAAATTATAAAATATATATTTAAAGTTAACATTCTCACTTTTATTTAAAAAAAATATTGTAATATTTAATGCAAATGTTGCCTATCGAAAAATATCGCATTTAGTGATAATATATCGATAAAATGGCAACAAAAAAATATTTTTTAATTTTTATATACATTTTTTTTAATGATTATATTAAAAACTTATTTAAATTTAACCTTTTTATAATTATTTCCAACTTTTTTCTATATATCCAATTAAATAACGATAAATGGCAAGTTAAAAAATCGATTTTTAATCGATACTTTCTTATATATCCAAAAGATAACCCTGGCAAGTTCAGAAACTATAAGAAAAATATGTTTTTTCTTATTTTTCTTGTCTTAAAATATATTGTTTTACAATTAGCTTTCAACAAAAATTAAGAAAAATGTATCGCAGTGTTTAGAAGAACACCTACACGGGCAGGTGCATGTGGCACTCAGCTGCTAACGACGTGCCCAAGTAAATGTCAAACTAATGCCCAAGCCTCGCACCGCAGGAGCCAGGATGCCAGGCCACGAACCCACCTGCACTTGCCCCCCTTCTCTATCCTTTTCCCGCTGCCAAGCTGCAACCATTTCACCGCAAACTATCGACGGCCATCGCCAACTCAATAATGTAATGTCCCTCATTGGCGCTTTAAGTTTATGCATTCCGCTCCCGCTCGCTCCCATTTTGTGGCACGTTTCTCTGTTCCACCTTTTGGAGCATGTGGGCTAGAGATGGGCTTCAGTTCGTGAGAATATTATGGATATAATATAATTCGATTGCAGATATTTTTCTATATTTTTTTAAATTCGAAATTCCGAGTGGTTTTTTTTTTATTAAGTTTTTATATTATTTAAATTAAAAATTGGGCATTAAATTGTTTTTAAGATAATAATTTAATTCTATTTTCTATATTTTACATTTCTTTTCAGTGTTTTTTTTTTCAAGAGTTAATTAAAGTGTAGTGTTTTAAAAAAGAAAGAAAGGAAAGGAATAACCTAAATCATGAGTCAAGAAAAAAGCAATGGAAGTACATCAATCATGAGAGTCGGTGAGTCATTTGAATATTTAATATTTTACAATATATTTCGTGGCTCAGGCTATACTATCCTTTGATTGAAATGATGTTTTCCTTTCTTAAATAACAAGCAAAAATAAATAATACTTTAATTTTTTGGTAAAAACATTTTCTTATCTTGAGGGTTCTTCTGCTTAAAGCATGCTTTTAAGCATTTTTCTTGGTTTCTGCCAGTTTTAGAAACTTTCTTATAGTTTCTATAGTGATTAAAATTATGTTTTAAATTCCTAGTAAAATACTTTCTTAATCCTAAATGTTGTTCTACCAAAAGCATGCTTTAAAACACTTTTCCTGAGCTGCTTGCAAAAGCAGTTTAGTGCTTAGCACCTTTCTGTAAACATTCTCACGCCATGTACATATATTTGTAATTCATAGTTAACATTATCCATTACAAAGCTGTTTAATTTGTTGTTAAAACTTGTATTTAAATCTACTAATATTCGTGTCACGCTGTTGTCCCCACGAAATGGGAATTACACCCAACAAAGCTGCAAAGTTTTATGCAATTTATTGCATTTAACGCTCACTAACAGTTAGCGACAATCCCCGATAGTGTGTGCCTGTGTGTTTGTAGTTAGAGTGAGATTTTGTGTTGTGCCAAGGGAAAACACAATGCCAAAGGGGGTAAGGGGGGGAGGAAACTCCTCGGAAAAGCGGGAATGAGTAAGCGAATTATTGCGTGAACTATTAGCAAGGCAGCTGCCATTGCATGTTATAATTTTACCCTTGGCCACTTGCCACCTGTCACCTACAACCACTACCTGTTGCCGGATGTTGGATGTCTCAAAAGACAGACTTCGTCAGCCGTCAGTCAGTCAGTCAGTCTGTCTAGCAGTGAGCCACTCAGTCAATCAATCAATCAATCCATCAAGCAGCCTCGTTGACGGCCCCCTAATTGGATGGCTAAGAAAGCCAGTCGCCAAGTCTCGGCCTTTAATCACTTAAGCGACAGTTTTGCCCAATCGACATCATCGATTGTTGTGTGCTGATAACTTTATTGAAGTCTGAAGCCTAATCAAACTTTATTTTTCGCTCCCCCACCGGGGTAAGGATTTTCTTCACGCCTCTGTGAGTGCTAACGGTTCTCTGCTGCTGAATGCATTTTCATTCTAATTTTCCCAAGGAGAAGCACAAGTTCACTGAGCAAAAGTAGTAAAAGTTTTCTAAAAAATTACTTATTCTCTCTCTTCAAGAATTCCTGATAGTTTTTCCTGTGTGTTTCAACAATTTGCTAAATGATTTAGGCCAAAATTGATTGACATTTGAGCCTTGAGCGCTGTCAGTTTAAATGAAAGCAGGTGAATATGAGATGGGTCTTTGGTATATTCATTCATTAAAATGTTTAAGCCTCAAGTCACAATTAAATGGTAGAATTTCTGGTGAAACCTGGGGTATTCTGTTGAATTTCCAACAATTCAACTAAATGGTTTTCTTTAAGTGTGCCTTTAACCCTCGCGTCAAATGATGGCCCCATCAACACTTGGCTCTTTCTGTCGATCCTGTTGTTGTTGTTGGTTCTTTGATGAGCTTAGGAGGATGTTCGCATCCACATCTATGTACATCCACATCCACATCCACATCCGCATCCGCCGTTCCTGGCGCTGCTAAAGCTTGTTTCGAGCAGCAACTAACGGTGAATGCTAACGGGGTAATCGCCGGTAATGTTCGCTCAAGGCTTAGCCCCCTCCTCTGTGCTCCGGTTTCAGCTTCTCCAGCCCCCCGCTCCCGTTTCAACCTTCTGCACTTCCTTCCCATTTGCATTTTTGGTCCTCCTCCGCTTTGCCACTCTTCGACACGACACGCATTTTGCACGCAGAAACAAGTAAACACTGAGAAAAAATTGGTTTCCAAAAATCATTTTAATTTAATTTAAGCTTTAAGTTTATAAGATTTTCTTTTATTTTCTAACATTTAGTTTTTTTTTAGTTCAAATTAATATTTGACAGTCAGTTAAAGTTAATGTTAAAAAATATTATCATTAAAACCTAAGCTTTTTTCAAAGTACGTTTTATAAATTTAAATTTCATTTTTAATTTAGAAAAATTAAAAACCTCTTATTTTATGCAATTATGGTTTATAAATTTAGCTTACAGTTTAGTAACAGGCACTTTAACTAGGCCTTAAGCCACAAAACCAAATATTTCTCACTTTTCGAAAGAAAAAATATAATAAAATAATTATAAGAATAAAGGAGATAATAAAGATTGTAAACTTTATTTTTAATTACATATATTACATTTAAAATTAATCTTACTGTTAATTAAACAACTGGTTAAGTTAAGTGATAACTTAAATCTAAGCTTGCTTTAAATATCACATTTCCTATATTTTATTTTAATTTTAAATTAACATAAAACCGTCTTGTATTTAGCTGTTAATTATGCTCTTCATTTTAAGCGACTGTTAACTAACAGGCACACTTATAGAGCCTTAAATGCCTTGTATAATCATATCAATATATTTAACAGAGTAGGCGAAATCTTTAAAAATATATTTAAAAATCTATTTAATAGTAGGGGGAAACTTTATGAGATAAAAAAAACCTAAATTAAATTAAATTATTTAACGTAAAGCAACTATTGTTTTTCTCTGTGTAGCAAAGAGCGAGTAAGCTTGAACCAGAACGAGAAAGCGTGGGCTGCCGCAGAGCTAAGCCATGCCACATGCTAAATCCTTTGTTCCTTTAATTTGTTATTGTATTGGCGTGCCAAATACCTCTATCTCCGCCTCCGTGTCCGTGTCCGTGTCCGTGTCCGTGTCCGCCTCCAGCCCCTTCGCTTTCCTTTCGCTGCCTCTGCCTACTTCCTGCCTCCCTTCTACCATTTTTTGGTGGCCACTCAAATTTGAGCGCTGTTGTTGTCGTGCGTCCGACCACATGAGGCATTCCACATGAGGCCATTCCTGTCCCTGGCCCCCTGGTCCCTGGCTCCCTCTGCCACGCACCCGCGCCGCCAGGAACAAGAAACTGTGAAATTTTTTAGGGCCACCGAAAAACAAAAGGCATGCCCAGACCAACAACAACAAAAGCAAGTACAACCATGACGGACACGAAAAAAAAGAGAAAATAAAAACAGAAACAGCAGCCGGAAAAGCAACACATATTTACATATATATATATATATATATATATATATATATATATATATATATATATATATCAGTGCAGGCGACAAAAAAGTCAATTTCAGAAAGGATAAAACAGAATTTGGTTTTAAAATGAAGATCAGGCAGATTTTATATGAAATTTATAGTTCTCAAAAGTTCTCAGAATAAATTCTAATATAGAAATAATAAATAGAATAAAGAAATATAATAAAGTAAAATAAATAATTAATAATAAATAAAAAAAGATACAATTAAAATAATATATATAAATAAATGTAAAAAAAACAAATTAATATATATATTTAATTAATAATAAATATAAAATAATATATATAAACAAAAAAAAAATATTTAAAATCAAAATAAAATATAAATAAATAATTATAATTAAGTTAATAAAATATAAATAAATAAATATAATTAAGTAAATAAATAAAAAATTAATATTATGAATATTCTTTAACTAAAAACACCCCTAAAATAATATCCCTAATTTTCAAGACTAAATCAAGCCTCATTCCTCCCTCAATTTTCCCCCTTAATTCACTAGGTTTCCCCTATAATCTTTTCCTGCTTAGCTAAACATTTTCCCAATTTCCATATTAAGATTTAAATTTGTTTCCTATACCCTAGAGATTATTATTTTACTCTTTTTTGCAAGGGTTTCCAGGAAACTTTTGTAGGCTGTGTGTGTGTGTGTGGGCGCGGGCGTTTTGCGTTACCGCTGCTGCGCCTGCATGTTTATCAGCTCATCTCTAATGAAACGTTATGTTATGGCGCCTGGGCCCCACTCCCCCCTACCCGCCTGACTTTTACCACTGGGGGAAAACTTTTTCCACCCGAAAATGCGTTGTTGATGGCAGCAGCAGCTGACGACGTTGCGCCGCGTCGTTGCCGCAGCCGTTAACCGCCCACGCAACGCACATTTGCCGAGCTGAGCTTCATTAGATGCGCAAATGAACAGCCAAAAGCACTGCAAAAAAATATAGGCGTAATTATAAGAAAATAATATTGAATATAAAATATATTTAATATATATTTTATTAATATTTAAATGTGGGTAAAGATTTAATTTATTTGAGATATCTAAGAAGACTTTAGGGACTCTCTTTGAAGGTTTATGATTTTAAAAACACTGAGAAAAAATATTGGTAATATTAAAAAACTATGAATAATTATTTAATATATTTTATATTATTAAAATGTGGGAAAATATTTAAATTATTTAGGAAATCTAGCAAGACTTTAAGGGTTATGATTTTAAAAATTTTAAATAATTTTAAGTATTAAATATATTTTAGGATTTATTCATGTTTTAAAAAACACTGAAAATTAATTAATTAATTATAAGAAATTAATATTGAATATTAAATATATTTTCAAAATATTTGAATGTGGGAAAAATTGAATTTATTCGAGAAATCTAACAAGAATTTAAAAACTTTTTTAACGTTTATAATTTTTAATTCTATTTTTTCTTCCCTTTAATTTCTGTCAGTGTTTGTGTGAACTTTAGCAGCTGGTTGTCCTGCTTTGCAGTGTTACCCCCTCCCCCACCCTGGCAGCTTTCATTCTGCAAGTTCTTAACCCCTTGACCACCCTTAACCCTACCAGGAGGGCAGCATCTACCATGTACCAACTCCCATTTCCCGTCTGACAGCGACAGCATTTGGTGTTTGGTGGTTTAGCGCTTTGTTTTTGTTGCAGTTCGCCCCCTTAAAAAAAATAGGGAAGGGGGTGGTGTGGGATTTTTTTTTTGAGAGGGGATGACCGGCGTCCGGCTACCACAACATACAGCCAGCAGGATGCGCAGGAGGCGGCAAAGATCTGCTGCGGAGTTGGGTTCGCTTGGCCGGGTCAGGTTGCGT